TTCACCAATCGAAAGAAGCTGAGTTAGGACATGTTTTGATATAATATTATGCAAGCTGAAATCATTATCTAATCAATCCTTTTTGGGAACCTTTTCAAAAAATGTATAATAATGCAATGTATCTTCAATGGAATTTTCATTCTGACATGTCTGTTAGATAAAGAAACTTCAGGTCTATAGTTCAAGATACAATACGAATTATTATCTTTTCACAGTCTAACGTTGAGCAAATGAATTCGGCCATTTGCTTGTCAAAATAATAGGGTATTGCGTTGATTTTTAACCAAATTGTCTTACTTTTTGTCAAATTTTTATCGGAACAAAATTGGTTGAAAATCAACACAATACTCTATTGTTTTGGCATGCAAATGGTCGAATCATTTGCTCAACGTGAGACTTCGAGAAGATAATAATTCGCATTGTATCTTGAACTATGAAGCTGAAGTTTCTTTATCTAACATACATCTCAGAATGAAAATTTCATTGAAACTACATTGCATTATTATACATTTTTTGGAAAGGTTCTCAAAAAAAGATTGGTTAGATAATGATTTCATCTTGCATAATATTATATCAAAACATGTCCTAACTCAGCTTCTTTCGATTGGTGAAAACCACAGATCGCTAGCTATTGCCGTTCTCGAGATATTCGTCTTACACCAACCCATACTTAACTCTGGCGCCGACAATAGTTGAGCATGAAGATGTTAACTGATATGGATCTGTTTCATAATATGAGCTTGTCTGAGGCGATTGGCTTGGTCAGAAACTTGTTTTTAAGATTTGAACCAGTGGATTAAGAGTAAAATCACTCATTTGTCGTTGAAAGTGGAATTCGATATATCAGTCGGAGTAAAACGATTTATTTCATCAGTTTCTATATTTTCGATTATATACACTTAAAACTACTTTTCCATTGAAAATCATTTTAAATTCAATTGATAACTTGATCAGTCGACCATTATTGTCGACATTGATAGGAAATCAATTGAAATACCGAACATGTATATTGCGCCAAACTTTAAGGCACGAGCACCGTTTTAAAATATCGATAAGCACTCTATAATGCCATATGTTATGTGTACCATATCAAATGAATCACATAATGACTAATCACTAATTAAGACGGAGAAGTGTATAACAGCTTAGTATTAATCTGTTATTCATTTATCGTTTTTCAAGACTATCAGGATTGTGCGTACCTAGAATCGATGCGAATTCATTATTTGGAGATTCCATAAAATATTTCTGTCAAAGAACATGAAACGTTGTTGATAACGATCTCATTTTCGAACAAGAAAACGAAATATTAACATAGCAAATGTAATGTTCTTCTTCATATGCATCGGATAAATGCTATTGAAAGGAAGATAAAACGATTCATATGACGCCATATGATATATTTTAGTCAATACACGATCATTTTTTTTTTGATTTTCAATATATAAATCAAGAAAATTGTTCGTAAAATCGAGTTCTACAGTTAATTTGATGTTTGAATCTCTTGTATTTTATTGTTCAATTTGTTTTAATAAATGATGTTGAGATCAATTAATGACAAAAAATATATCATCAATCTATCGACAATATAATCCATCACTATTATTAACTTGTTTCACTATGCTTTGTTCATAATAGAACATAACAATTAGCAACAGTAATGTAAGAGAAGAACCCATAGCTCCGCACTCCGAATTTAATGATAGAATTAGCCATTATAAGAAAAACAATTATTTTGCAAAACAAACTGACTTAATCTAATGATTGTTTCAATTTTTAATCCACCAATCTGTTTCGATTTCAAACAGTTCATCATTTTCTGTAATAATAGTACTGTTTTCGTTTGCGCTATTGTAGGGCGAAGATCTTCTACATCAATTCTACGTAATAAAGTTTGCATCTCGAAATGAATATTCGACAATTCACTTAAGACCTCCTCAGAAAACCCATTTCTTCGAAAAAATACAGTTTTTTTTAGCTTTGGTAAGACTGCTTTTTAGCTTGTAACAACATTGAATAAGCACTTTTGTATAAATTAAGCACGAAAGATGATGTCAGCCTATGTCATCTGTTACGTGCTTTCAAAAATTTCATTTTAATATATTATTAATATACCATTTGTGGTCACCGTTAAAAGCAGTCCAACGAATTTAAGGAATATATGAACACCCTTAAAGAAACACATGACATTGTACAATGGGAAATTCTTATTGACCAGATAAATCAGAATATACCTACTTATATTAAATTACTATTGAAAATATGTCAAAAGCTTAAAAAATTGAATTAAAACAGAATTTTCTAAAAAGTTTATGTGTATATTGCCATCGACATATTTGCTGCGCAGACGATTCGAGTTTTTTCACACGACAAATTGACTTATTACCTTATAGAATAAGTGTATTCTTTTGATTGAAATATTTGTTGAGCTAATTATTCGATTTTTTCAATGAGATAACTCGATTCATTTCATGATAACATGCGCTAAGTGAGTGAAGCAGAACTGTCTCAGTGATTTATTTTTCCAACAAAAAGATTCGAGTTATCTTATGGAGCAAGTCAACTTATCTCATATGATAACTCGAATTCGTTAGTAAACAAATATCTTAATGAAGCGAAATGACTTGGACCACATCGCAATCCATGTAATTCGAACTGAGAAAAAGTCACTGGCAGACCATGAGTTTTTTTTTTCAAATGTTGTATCATCGTGTATTGTATCGAAACGAGTGAGCAATTTTTGAAGTCTGTTAAAACTGACGAAATTGGGTCGATTTCGATACACTCTGACAATGTTGATGCACTTGAACAGTCTGTATTAGCTACAGAGAAGATGGAGCTTCTCCGGAATTCCCTTCATGATTTATTGAGCAGAGATTCGCCAATTACCTAATTATACCGCCTCACCGCAGGGCAAGGCAAGATTTTCGACAGCAAGACCAGTAAGAGACGGTCTAAAATTTGACGACTTGTCCCATATCCTTACGATTCATTTATTCAATCTTATCAAAACTTGCTCGATCATTTTCTTCAATTCCAGTAATTGCAGCTAATATGGAACGCCAGTTTAGTTCTGGCGGTTTGATAGTCAACTCCAGACGTACTCGATTAAATTCACAACAAATAAACAACGCATTGTTTATACATTCAGTAAAAAAAAAAAAAATGATAGGTATTCATTTTGACCTCATTATATATTTTTATATTTTGTTTTTTTTTAACCTCTTTTATATGTATTAAATGTATTTTATGTGATTGTATGAAATAAAGGAAATAGCAATTGTTAAATATCGTCGGAAAGATAAGAAAAGTTTAGGCGGAGGATAGCGAAAAAAGTTTTTAGCTGCTTTGCGGATCTCTGCTACGGACCACTCTTTATATTAGGTAAAGGACTTGTACTTCTACAGTGTCATTTACGATGTTTCATAAGTTTTCTTGGAGTGAAAATCTTTGTTTTTATAAGGATAACTTCTTCATACATTCTTCAGCCAATTCATTTGGCATTGTCACTTTAAGTTTTGATTCATTAGCCATAGCTTGTTCTACTGTCTGACGAGCATTTCTATTGCCTGACCATGATCGACGACTAACACCATTTATTACATCCCAATATAACATATGTCGAATATTATCATCAGCTTTTATACTTCCATCAAGAAACATACCAAAACCACCTAAACAAATGTTCTTTTAAAAGAACAAACAAATAAAACTCTTTACCATTCATAACTTCACCCCACCCTACACCACCACCATTATGTACTGCAACCCATGTTGCACCACGAAAAGAATCACCAATGACATTTTGTATAGACATATCTAAGAGAAAATCGAAATATTGAAAAAGAAAAACTATTTTTTTTTTTCGTTTTTAATACAAACCTGCACAAAATGCAGATCCATCTTCAATATTTGCTGTTTCACGAAAAGGTGAATCCGTACCCGATACATCATGATGATCTCTTGCTAAAATAATTGGTCCTTTTAATTGACCTGTTCGTACAGCTTGATTAAATGCTAATCCAATATTAATTCTACCCATTTGATCAGAATATAAAATTCGTGCTTGAGAACCAACAACTAATTTTGCATTTTCAGCTTCTTGTATCCATTTTAAATTATTATTATATTGTTCAAGAACATTATTCGGAGCTATTCATTGAAAATTTACAAAAAACAAAGACAATTATATTTGATACATACTATCCTTATTTGACATAAGATCTTTAATAACATTTTGAGCAATCTTATCCGTCTCTTGTAAATCACTTGCCAAACCTGATGCACATACCCATCTAAAAAAAAATAAGATAAACATAGAAAAAACATAAATCAATAT